TGAGGCAGGCAGGTAAGTGTGCTCCCCAGGGTCTCCTGAATCACACTTTGAGCTTCTCCTGTTCATTTCCGTGGTCAGACTAAACTGTCAGAGTGGCTGGATTTCTCAGCCCCTCCAGATTTTGTATTCCTACACACACAGCTTACAACCCCAAACTCTTCCCACTTAATTTTAGGACGGGGACGGTCGAGAACTTTCATGTCAAGGTGTCACAAACCAAGATCGGGCAGGACCCTGTAGCTCCCAGCTTAAGGCAGGGCTAGTTCCAGCCAGATGAAAGAGAAGTCCAGAGGTTGCATCACCTGTGGAGGCAAGAGTGTGGAGTGGTGACCCAGGGTCTTTGCCTGAAGAAAGGACCCTGTGCAGGTTCTGGACCCAGCCCCACAGCTCACAGCAGTGGCCTTCTAGTGAATGCTGCCACCCTCCCCTTCCACTCGTCATCATCCTGTTCTCTTGATTAATCCTCACAGCCTCACAGGGAGCTGGTGTTAGACCCGCATTTTACAGATAAAGAAACCACGCGTCCAAAAGCTCAGGGAAGTTACCCCAAACCATACAGCTAATAATTATCAGAGGAGCATCAAACCTAGGGCCTGGGTCCCTTGCTCCTTCCACTCTCCAAGGCTTCTCTGATCTTCCAGAAAGCTCTCCAGACACCATTCAAGTTTGCCTCTCCTCTGTGCCTCATTCCCCTACTTGAAAAAGGTCCTCCCCTCTACGTGATCCGTACCGTACCCTGTCCCCAGTCTACTGCCTTTGCAGGGTTTCCAGAGAGCACTGAGGTCTCCTTAGAGGAAGTCTCGGAGTCTGGATCCGCCAGTTCTGGGATTAGTTGCGAACACACCAGATGGCCTTATGGCATGTACGGCTAATGTTTAGTTTCTTTGTGTGCCAGATCGAGGAGAATTGGAGAAAAAGCCTGACCTCAGTGGTGTACTAGTAAATATTTAACAAGCAGATCTCAGGGGTGGAGATTGAGGAGAGGCCCTGATGTGCAGCATTGGCTAATTTCCGTGCTGTAAATGCTCCCACCATGGCCAATTTCGATATGTGATATCACTCAGCTTACAAAAGTCCTGAAAATTTAAATTGGCTTCCACAGGCCAGAACCAGGGAGCTCCAATCCATCATTTAAGGGTCATACCCTGTCCTGGTCCATCTGGTCTGTCCCCCTGCTCCTGATCGTCAGACAATACTGCCCAGTAACCTCACCCCAAAGCCTCGTTGCAAGTCACCCTCATCCCCTGTGGACAGCTGCGGGCCTCTCTCTTTGCTCTTCAGTTCTTGGGGTAACAAGTGTCTCCGGCTAGAAAAAGAATTCTATTTGGAGATAAACACTCGTTCTTCAAACCTGGAGGAAATGCAGAGGTTGCCAAATCGGCCCCCAGGAGCTAAATAAATTTAAATCACCTTTCTGCTCAGACCAGTTCAGCTCTGCTCTCTTCTCCCCATCCCCACTCAGAGCCCCAGTAACAGCCTCTCAGCAGGGGCCCCTTGGGATGCTGGTAAGTGAGGGCCTTTGCTTACACTTTTATTCCGAGCTTTCTTCTGTTACTCAGCAGGGCTCGCCCTACCCCCACCTTCCCTGAAGTCCTGCCTAGAGAGGGACTGAGGGGAAACCGAGTGCCTCCCCTCAGTCCTCTCTCCTAGAAGTCCCTCTTCGTGGGAGCCCCTTGTGGATTCCTTCAAAGAAGCGAGGAAATTCGCCCTTCATGGGCAAACCAGAGCACACTAGCCTACCCCGTATTTCACCCATAAACGGGCTGTGCAGACGTAGATGTGCCTTATTTTAGGAGAGAAGCATATTCTGGAAATCTCGTATTTAATAACAACCACTACCCCTCCACCTGGGGAGCACGTCAGAGTTTCCAAAATACTTTTATATACTGTGCATCATCTACTCCTAGCCTCCCGCCAACCCTGTGTGGTGGGTGGGTAGTGATTATTAAAGCCCCCTCATGGCGTCCGAGCCCGCTGGTGATGAAAGGGACTTCAGATGTCACCTAACCCAGCTACCCAACTAAAGAGCTTCCATCCCCTACACAGAGGCCCAGTGGATCGGTCTCTGCTTGGCCCCTTCGATGGTGGAGGCTCACCACCTCCTGGAGGCAGCCCATTCCAGCCTTGGAGAGCCCCGAGGCTTGGTCATGTATTTGGATGGAGCACAAATCCATCTCCATGTTACATAGATTTAATGTAGTTTGTAGTTCGACCCTTCAAGGCACACAGAACAGGACTGATAGAATCGAATCTTCATTCAAATGTTTGAAGGGGGCTCACACGTCTCTCCATCTCCTCACTCCTGTGAGTCTTTTTCTCACATATTGCAGATTCCTTCGGATATTCCTCCTGTGACGCGGAGTGGAATCCCTTCGCCGGGCCAGTCAGCACTCCTCTGAATGTCCTAGCACAGTGCTGGGGGAGGGGGACTAGAAGCTGTGTGTGAGCTTTGCTTCTGCTACTTCATCCTCAGATAGCTTTAGTTTAGGTCATTTTTTTTTTGGACAGACACATTACACTTTGGATGTATTGAGCCTGCTGTCAACTAAAATCCTGCTGCTAAACTGTGAACTGTGTCTCTCTCTCCCCTGATCTTCACTTATTGATTTTTTTTTATTTTTTTTTTTGCCGAAGAGTTAGAAGTGTTAAATTCCGACTTAGTAGATGAAAATGAATCTTAGTAGACTTAGCATGTGGCCAACATCTGTAAAGATCTTTTGAATCCTAGTTTCATGTCACCCACAAAGTTGCTGAACATAACTTAGGGCATATTCTAAATCGCTGATAGAAATATTGAAAAAGAGAGCCAAGGAGAAAGCACGTGGCACTGTCCCAGCAGCCCGCATCAAGCGGACGTCTACCCTTTGATTGTCATCCTCTGGGGGAAGCTGACTAATCCACACACTGGTCTACCACGTCTCTCCCGTGTTTTCCACAAGAATATCGTGGGAGGTGCGGTGCTGAGGTCACTTACACCACTCACGCCTGCCACATCTCCTGATCTGCCAGCTTAGTATTCATGTTCAATCCAGAGATTGAGCTCTATCACAGAAGGCACTCGGCCTCGTGACCCCAGCACCTGGCACAGTGCCCAGCACATGGCAAGGACTTGAGAAGCATTTGAAGACATAATCGGTCGCATTTGTGAATGAAAGGAACTGACCCAGATCAATGTGAACACCAGCGATATTTAGTTTTCGATTCCACCTTCTTCCTGTATTTTAAAAATTGGAACATTCGTTTTTAATTTCTTCCCTATAGCACCTCTTTAATACTCGTGAATCCTAAAAGGTCACTAACTTGCTTACTGACGAGAAAATAGGAACTTGGGAAAGTTAAGGGATTGGCCCAAGGTCAAAAGCTTATGACAAGAGACAGCAGGATTCAAGCAATCGTCTGCTGGCTTCGAGGTACCATCATGTATGTGCATCGACTTTGGGAAAGTTCTCCCAGCTCAGTGGCATAGATATTTCATCCCAACAAAATACGATGGGGAAACGGTATAGTAAAGCAGGTATATTTCTTTTAGAGTCTCAATCTCATTCACTGTCCATCATTCGTTAATTCAATTCACAGATGCAACAGATATTTATTGAGCATCTACTAGTGCCAGGGTTTTCTGGGCCCTAGGAAAATAACTGTTAATCAAGCTCTCTCTGAGCTTAAATTTTAGCTGGAAGCGAGAGAGAAAATAACCAAGCAAGTAGATATATAATATGCGGTATGGCAAGATCTGTGAAATAAGGCAGAGCAAGGGGACTGCAAGGGGCGAAGGGGCTCTATTTTACTCTGAAGACGTGACATCTGAGCAGAGACTATAAGTGAAGAGAATGAGAGAATAAATGTCTTGGGAATATCAGCACCAGCAATACTGTGGTGTATTCATGGAAGAACAATGTTTTTCCTTCCAGAAAGCAAGAACCTAGATCATCTGATGAGCTTTCCATGCTAGGAAATATTTGATTCTTTCAAGGTATATTTATTCATTTATCCACTCATTAATTTTGTCAACAAATACTAAGCATCTACTCTGTGTCAACTGAGTGCTGGGGGTGAAGAGGTGAACAAAGCTTTAGTGCAGGATGCAGACGTGTCTGGAGCTCGACAGCACAGGGGTAAGAGCCGTCATGGGCTATGGACAGGCTGGAAGAAGAGAACGGTTGAGGCATGTCAGCGTTCATGACATTTTCAGGTTCCATTTGACTAAAGGAAATATAACAGAAGCATTAAATGGTGGTTAATGATGGTTATCAAAAATTTTAAAGCTGTTTAACCATTCCTTTAAATCAAATCTTATACTGAAAGTTCAATACATAATATTAAAAGGAATTGCTCTGATTATAACAAAATTCGGGCCCTGGAGACACCTTCTGAAACATGTAACAGGATGAAAACTACTGCCCTAAATATTTGTTATGGTTAAGAACGGAAATCTGTCCATCGTCCACTAAAATCCGCTTGTTTTCAGGTACCCAGGTAAACCAAATTTGGAGAACCGTTCAGTTATTAATCAAAACAATTAAAACAGTCACCTCTGACTTGCATTAAATGGAATAAACCTCTGCCCGAATGAGAACTGATTCAGCTGTTTTTTTTCCTCCTCCTTAGTCATCGAATCGAACTGAACACTGCCCAGTCCGGCCCAGATGATTCACAAGTACAATTTAAAGGCCTCATCATTTTGTTTTTCTCTGTTTCTGGACAGAGGGCACTGTCTTAGTTTGCACTGAGAATCGTCTCTTTGGAAGTGTGTTGGTGCACCACCTGGCTTCGGATAGTCCGAAATTGTTCTCTAGAACGTTCTCATTTGAAGAAAGTCCTGCTTTCTTTCCACCGTAATGCATAAACAAACGGACGCTCATTATACACTCACGATTCTCTTGCACACATTCCCCTACCCGCCCACACACCATAAGCCAAGGCAGACCTCACAAATCCAGCTGAGGAGCCAGCTGTCATGGACACACTAACCCACCGCCTCTTCTTTCTTCTCTCTACAGATGACGGCAACTGCTCAGGCCCCTTCTAAGGCCCAGGCTGTCCACATCTCCGCACCCTCAGCTGCTGCCAGCACTCCCGTGCCCAGTGCCCCCATTGACCCCCAGGCCCAGCTGGAGGCTGACAAGCGAGCTGTGTACAGGTAGGAGATGCTTCAGCAGTGCTGAGAAGCCCCCAGCCAGCCTCAGGCCCGGCTCAGCCCTGAGAGATGAGGTTGCAGGCCAGTGGGTGGGCTCATCAAAGACAATGGCCAACAGCTGCTCCCTTCACAGCCTTCTCAAATCAATCCAGAGATCCCTCAGCTGGCCACTATGGATTGATGCTAGCTTCCTGGAATTGTCTAGTGAGGGATATGAGAGCCTGGGCAGCATCTTTTAGGAGGAGCCCTTCCACATCCCAGATGGAGAGATAATGAGCCAGAAACCATCAGCTCAGCAAACAGGCAGCTACCCGGGGATTCCCCTTGCCCTGTCCCATTGTTGCCTTCACTCCAGCAAGAGCACTGGACATCTGATTGCACCATCTAGGACTCGGTATTACGCAAACCTTAGCATGCCTAAAAATCATCAGGAGAGCTTGTTAAAATGCATGGTTTTAGGGTCCATGCTCAGAAATGCTGAATCAGTAGGTCAAGCTATAGGAAGAGGAATACAAACTTTAAAGAACGTTCCAGGTTATTTAATCTAATGCAGCTGGTCCTTGGACCACATTTTGATTCACGGTAGTCTTGGGTTTTAGCAACAGGTGTCGCGTGCAGCTGTGTAGGTTCTGGCACATTCCCCAGATGGGGAGTTTGCCGATAGCAGGCACTTGGCTCATCTTTCTCTGCACTAGCCCATGCACCCAGAGCTGGGATCTGAATGGTCCATAGGGTGGGAGGGGCTCATGGAAATTCCTGTCTGTCTGTGTATGTGGCTGGGAAGAAGCTAGAGTCATCTGAGCGCAGGCCTGAATGAGGCTCCAGCAGGGACTGTGCTGTCGTTTGTCCAGAGCCACTAAGAGGAGGTGCCTGAATCACACTCAGTACTGACCCTCGCTGGAGGCTGGACCCTTGCTCACCTTCTCTGTGCGAGCATAGATGTTCACATGTACCAGTGAACACAGCTTACCTCTGGCTGAGCACACACTGTAGCAGGTACTAATGGCAGTAACATGTGGAACGGGCCACCGAGGGTAGGTAGGGAAAAGATTGATTTCTTCCTCTCCCTCACCCCCCACAGTGACAGCGCCTTATGGTAATGGTGGTGATTATTGTTGTTATTATCATTGTTAGAACGGTATTATTTTTAGTTACTCAGATGAGCTGAATGCTTCTGATGCCAACAGTTAAGTCCGGAGGAGTGGGCTCTGACCCATAGATCCTGGCATGAGGATGCTTCCCAGATCTGGAGGGAGGATAAATCACAGTGCCTGGCCCCCTGCCCAATGCACAGGCCTGGTCCAGCTGCTTGCAGGCAGCGAGCTCTTCCTTGGGCCGCCAAGAATGCCAGGATCTGGTCACAGTTTTGTCAGAGAGCCTCTAAGGTGGGGGAGGGGCAAACCAGTATGGGACTGGGCACT